GTATAACTCTAACTAATATAATAAAGGCTTACATACAGTCCAAAAGAATGAAATACTTTACATAAAAGTTAAACCAAGAGTAAATTAACTAGAAGTTTGTATTAGCAGCCCTAGATAGCAAGTAAAATGGCTAGCTTGGTAAGTAGCAAACAGAAAGCAGATTAACTAAATAAACAAAACAACAATCACAAACAGCTATCATTTTATAAAAAAAGAGGTAAAAAAACAGTAGCCATTTTTGTAAAATCTGGCCATACCTTGCCACTAAACTGGTCTTTGTTTGGTGTGCTGAAGCCATGGCACCAATGTGGCCATTTCTGTTTTTAAGAAATATGAAGTAATGTCAACAGCAAAACTGCCTATGATTTCAGATATTCCAGCCACACTGGGTGCCTACTGGTATGTTTAGAGCAACATACTGCACTGTGTTGAGCTTTATAAGAATTATAAAAACATTATAAGAACAACTGTTGGCGAGTCATGTCACTCAGACATGATCACAACTCCCTCCCACTGCAGCCTCTGACTTCCTACTCACTTCACGCTCGTCCAGTCTTTCTCTCTCCATCCAGAGCTGCTCTCATATTCCTTTTCTCCCAGTCTTCATTTTCACCCCACCCCTCTTTCTCATGATCTCTTTTCTTCCTCCCTCTCTCCCTCAGCCTCTGTGTCTCTCACCCTGCACCCCCACTCCAACCATGTCCATCCCTTTGTCCCCCACTGACTGTGTGTCTCCAGGTCTTCCTGATTGGTCATGGAGATTTCTCCTGGCACTCCACAGCAGTGTGTTGTTGTTATGTATGTGTGTGCGTCTGTCCACCTTGACTGCTCTGCCATGGGCACTGCCCTGACTGCGGGTGAGAAACATCAGCTGCACGATCCAGGCAAACAGCCAATAGTTGCACCGAAGAGAGGAGGGCAAACACTTAAATAATCTCCTTCCCCCCTGAGCCCTGGAGAGCTCAGTCTCTAAATAAGGCTCAGGAGAACTCAGTGGGCATCCCAGACTGTTGGATTTGAGGCGAGAGGATTGCATTAACATTCTGACTTTACACAGGAGACTCATGACTCCTGAGATTGAGGTTTGTGAGGGAATAAACAGCTAATATGATCTGAGGGAACTGAACATTTGTTGACGCATAATCCCGTTGTTCTGTGTAAAGCTGCTGCATAATGCTCCTTGTATAAAGTACAAATAGTACATTGTAACTTATACAATTAAAACCTTAAAACATTTCTACACATGTGTGACTGTTGAGGTTGCAGTGTTTTGTCTTTTAAAGGGTTAGGCTGGCATTACAAAATACATTTTCTGTTTTGTCAAGAAATCCACTGAAGAGACCCAAACCAGTAATGAAATTATCCTTCTCACAAGTATTGTTTGTGTAGTCTCTGTGCCATACAGAGATTCACACGTTTGCACTGGCGAACATTCATTGCGAACATTCAGTGAACACGGGCACGGTAGTCTATTTTGAGTCAGTCCCACATTCACCATCTTGCTGCCGTAAACACTCGCTAGAGCATCAAATGTGTTTCAGTATGCAGCAGAAAATAGTGCCTCAGCAAATACACTATGCACTCCTGTCTTGAGTAACATCTGCTAAAAACTACAGTGCCCAGCTGTTTTAGGAAATTAATCTGCCTTTTCCCCCTCTTTTCATGCAATTTGTTGACAATAAGAAAAATATAGAATAACCAGCTTTTGTGACACAGCAACTAACAGATATCCAAATAAACAAACAAAAAGGATTTTAAATAAACATTATAATGTGCATTATCTTCACTATTCAGGAGCAAAATTTAAAAAAAGAATATAATAGCAAACATTATACAGGGATTTGTTTTTACTAAACCTGTGCTGCATCAATGCAAACCAACAAAACTTAACTAATATCTGTGTTTTATCATTTCTAATTTCTGAGATAACAAAATAGCAGGTTTTCTAATTCATTGCTTGAATTTGTTTAGACAAGAAATCCTAACCAGCACCAAAGTCAGAAGCAACCAGTGGTCCCATGCTGGTGAGTTTTGACCCTAATATCTGTGGTTTTAACCCTGTCTGACAGGGTCTCTCCTGGCCTAAGGTATAAGGCAGTAGGAGACCAGAGGAATAAAACAAAGCTCGTCACAGTTGCTTCTGAACAGATAAAATCAGTGACTGTAGTGGTGTTTGAGCTGTGCGTAACGGCTTTGTGTATGCATGTGTGCATGTTTATGTGTGTGGCGGGGTGGGGGTGCATGGGGTGTCTAACTGTCTGACACCTGCAGCTCTTCATACTCAAAATGCAAATCCAAGCCCTCACCCCCTCCACGACCCCTCCCTCAATCTCCGTGATCCAAGGTTACTGAGCAACGACTTTTGCAAATCTAGATCAGATTTAAATAATAGTACAAAAAGAGTTTCAACAGCACTAAACGAGGAATTAAAGCTTTTTGTGGAAATAATACGAGATGCCAATTTTCTGATCCAGATACTGTGAAGGCCAACATTCTCTGCCAAGTCTCTTCCAACCATGAGACTGATTACTGGGTATTTTTAAATGACATGCATGACTGCTGGTGAGTTTTACATTTTAAAAAAATCCTTTTTTGAAATAACAGAAAAGGCAAATTTGCTGTTACAAAATTCCCTTAGTCTACATCGACTATGCAAACAATATGTTTGTTTATTACAAACTATAATCATGTAAACTGTGATGGCAATCCAGAGAATTTCAGAAGCATTGAAAGAGGTATCAATATTCACTTAACAATGGCATAGAATCAGGCAATCCTGACTGAAGATGCTTGAGAAGAGAAAGCGCTGGGAGCTGGGAACTGCTGACTTGCCCAAGTGTTGAATAAGTCTACGTGCTGTGAAACTGCAAAAACGACAACTTTTGCTTGCCATAAAGCAGGTGCAGGCCCCTGCGTCTGCTAGCATCTGCCTAACTGAAGTGTTCAAGATGATGAATCCCTAACCAGCTCTAAGGTTGCTGCCTTGCAGCTGAGCCTGACCTCTGACCTGGCTCGTGGGGGCTACTTAAGAATCTTTCCCTGTAGGGAACCAGTAAAGTGGTGCATTATTTGTATTGTTGTAAGTGGAGTGTGGAGTAAATGAGGGAAAAGCACCTGTTTCACTGGGTACCACAATTGCACTCTGGGAACATTAGTGATGCCCCTTCATGTAACCCACCTCTCTAGTGCCACCTACTGACTATTCAAGACAGCACAACACAGTAGCATGGAGATGGGAGAGTAGAACCACAAGCAAAGTCTTGGAAAAACAATTACCCCAGAGTTTACATCACTCAACAACACTAGATCAAACTAGACACTAAAATGAAGTATAGTATATTTTTCTTTTTAATCCCGCCAGCGACAGGGACTCTTTACATCTCTCTCAGAAAATCTATAAAAACAAAAAAAGCTATTATTATTTCACAAGAATAAGTGAGGGGATAGTTGCAACACACCAGGCTGTACGGCCTAGTAGTTTTTCTGTTACAATATGAAAATCATGTATTATTTTTATTTTTTTATTGCAGTTACTTCTTTGATATTATTCTGTTTTGACTTAACATCTTGAAATTTGTAAGCTTGCCTTTGAATCAACACGGTCCAGTAGCGCCACCGAGTGGTCATGAGGTTGTAGTTAAAGTCCAAGACCAAGAGGGCATTTTATTGTATTTTCATGTTATTCTTATCGTTAAGCTTAATCTTTTTTCTAAAATTTATATAAATCGTACATTTGGCACTGCTATGATGTCATTGAGACATATTTTGTCTTTATTTTATTGTTATTGTAAAATCGGTGTTGCGCTTCTGGCCACCAGGAAAAATTTCTATGGAAACATTGTATTTGAAGTAGTTTTGGAATCCAGCCACACTGCTGGACTGGATGATGTAGTACGTTGTGTCCAACGTCTAGTTGTGGAACAAGTGGAACAAAACAAAGCCAACTTGCCTTTGGATCAAACTGGATCATATTACTTTTTCCTGTCAGATGTGTGTCCACGGGTGCGCTTGTCCCACCTGTCAAGTCAGCCAGAATTAAATGTCCAGTACGCCTTTTCACAATACAATTGGCTAAAACCATGTTGCTGATTTGTGAGGTACTGGTGGCAACTTATTTTGAAAGATAAATAGTCTCTTCCGTTCTTTCTCTCCGCCCTAGCTCGAGTCCACTTGACGCGGGTTTCCAACAGGTGCCAAAAATGAATGTGCAGCAAAACTGTCAGCTGAGAGGACAAATCCCTCCATCCATAGTCAACCGCTTATCCTGCGTACAGGGTCGCGGGGAGAGGGAAAAGGCAGGCTGAAAATAAAATAAAATAGGAGAGGACCAAGTTGTGGGTGGTGTTTTTACTGAAAGCTTTCTCTCCCTGATTTCCTTTTACCAATTTATCAGTAACAAGTTGTATTTCAACTTGGAGTGACAGGTCTAATGAAGACAAGCTTTAATTGTCCATTGTCTGTCTGTAGTAGCCTAAAAGCATGTTTATGCGTGAAAATAACGACATGAAGGAAATCACTGTGGGTAAGGTTCTGTTTGTGTCAGGGCCAAGCTACACATGTGCTCTGACATATTAAAATGCTCTATACTTGGTAGGATGACTGTAAAAAGTGTCCCACAGTTGATCTCATTTAAGATACACTACACAGACCTCCTTTCTTCATTTTAAGGCTTCTGGAAACCCAATTGACCCATAAGTGTATGTTTGGATTATGGGTAAGAAGGCTGTTAACCAGCAGGATTTAAGATAAAATACTCTTTCATGATTATGATTAGATTAGATTACAAATAAATCCATGCTTTAATAATAATCTAATTACACATATTGTGTCCTTTAAACGTCCCCGGCTTGGCCGACTCTTGAGTTCAGGAACATGGCGCACGTCTTGAACTTCAACCTCGGATATTTATTCAGCCTCGTATGTCTATTTGACAAAATGCAAATCCATCACTCAAAATTCTCGCGATAAATGCCGCGGATATATTAGGACAGATGGGGGGCCTCGTCCATTTGGAGGGGCGTTGGGTTTCCTTGAGGACCTTGGTGAAGTTTGGAACAGTTAAGGGTCTCAAATCTGCACAAGAAACACACCAACCATGTCGGACGCGGTGATTAGTTTCCTTAAGGACTTTTTGGCTGGTGGTGTTGCCGCTGCCATCTCCAAAACAGCTGTCGCTCCCATTGAGAGAGTCAAGTTGTTGCTGCAGGTAAATTGAACCATTGGTTGCCCAAAGCATGGCCGCATGTTCATCGTTTTGTGCGTAATGTGTGCGTAAATGTTGGATAACTGATAAACCAAACACTAAAATGTAAAACTGGAATTGTTTTTAAACGAGGAAAAGTCCAGCTGTACACTGTGTGAGTTCATATGATCTGGTGCGTAATGTCAAGGGGCACGTGAGAGGTCCTGCGTCGGAGTGGAGATGGTTTTACGCACTGCAGTTGCAATGTTGCAGTTGTTATGGCGATGATGACAAGGCCTCCAAATATATGTTTCACAAAATTGCCACAATACTAGTTTATGAGCTATTCGTACGTCTATTAAGTTTATTATTACTCCATTATAACGGATTGCCGCAGTGATATTTAGTGAAATTGAACTGCTAAATTTAACTTGAAGAATGTAATCTAATACACAACTGATTCTCAGATGACAGGAGTGTGCATGTAGACGGCTACAGCTATACAGTAATGGCTGGCCGGAATATATTAAACACTAAATATGTTAATTACACTTAGTTATTAAAATTGAAATAGAAAACAATTTATTTTGATGTTAATAGAAAAGAAGGCGTGACACAATTTCTTTACACAAACCTTCACTAGAGACTTAATCACATTTTGGACTAGTTAGCATCTTTTTAATGAACTTTTATTGTCTTTGCTTGTAGGTCCAGCATGCCAGCAAACAAATCACTGCGGCGACCCAGTACAAGGGAATAATTGACTGTGTGGTAAGGATCCCGAAGGAACAGGGCTTTATTTCCTTCTGGAGAGGCAACCTGGCCAACGTGATCCGTTACTTCCCCACCCAAGCCCTCAACTTCGCCTTCAAAGACAAGTACAAGAAGATCTTCCTCGGTGGTGTGGATCAAAAAACACAATTCTGGCGTTACTTCGCTGGTAATCTAGCATCTGGCGGTGCCGCTGGGGCGACTTCGCTCTGCTTCGTCTACCCTCTTGACTTCGCCAGAACAAGACTCGCTGCCGACATCGGCAAGGGCGCGTCGGAGAGAGAGTTCAGCGGTCTTGGAAACTGCCTCACCAAGATCTATAAAACCGATGGCCTCAGGGGTCTTTACCTCGGATTCAATGTATCAGTGCAGGGTATTATCATCTACAGAGCGGCCTACTTTGGATGCTTCGATACAGCTAAAGGTGCGCACATCTGGTCGACCTGACCTTTAGCATGTTTTTAACATAGTTTGTGTATTTTCTCGTGACAAGCGGGTGACTTAACTCCTCCCTCACACAGGTATGCTGCCAGATCCCAAGAACACGCACATCGTCGTGAGCTGGATGATCGCGCAGACTGTCACCGCTGCAGCTGGTATTGTCTCATACCCCTTCGACACAGTCAGACGTCGTATGATGATGCAGTCTGGACGCAAAGGAGGTGAGCGTCACTCACACGTGTGAGATCGTGTCTTTATTGTGATGGATTTTATTGGTTTGGCGCAATCGCGCATTTTACGCACGCATTCTTGGCTATTATGCATCAGTTTCCATGTCTCCATTTCCACAGCTGACATCATGTACAAGGGCACGATCGACTGCTGGAGGAAGATCCTGAAGGACGAGGGAGGAAAAGCCTTCTTCAAGGGTGCCTGGTCCAACGTGATCAGAGGAATGGGTGGTGCCTTCGTGTTGGTGCTGTACGACGAGATCAAGAAGTTCACAAAATAAACGTTCTAATCTCCCAGTCCCCAAGGAAACCCTTCACTTTATATAAGTCTTAATTGTTGTGATAAGGGTGATACCAGCTTGTGATGAATTACAATGTGGGCATGTAGTCTTCTGCAAGCTCAGGAAGGTATACTTGGCCTGGGTTAACATGCCTCCTAAGAAATCTGTATATATCCCAAAAAGGCACAGTCTTTCAGTGTGACAAAGTCAAGCCGGTGGTTCAGGTATAAATGTGATGGTGCAAAGAATGACGTCACATGCCCCTCATGTTAGAGTCAGTTTGTAAAGCGGTTGCTGAGGCCCATGTGTTGGTATGTTGTGACCACTCTGACCCATGTATCCCACCTCGCACATTATTTTATTAAGAATAAAGATTTGTTAGTCTAAAAGCCCAGTCTTTTTGATGCATGTTCTGTTTTTAATGACAACTGGTCTTCTGCAGTTGAATAGGCGTTTTCTTCAGAGCAACCATTAGGACGGCTGTTATATTTGTGTCTCAGCCATGACTACACCAGGACCCTTAAAATGAAGCAGAAGGATGTAGTGCAGCCATCATTAAGTGTGTTATTTACAACTGTTTTTCTGTGACATGTCAAACTGTCTTGAAGCTCTACTAAGAACGCAATGCAGTTAAAATACAGCAATGATAAGGATTTCTTCAAAATATTCATCTTTAAAATTGGAAAATGACATCCAGGAACTGGACCCAGATGGACTTCTTTTAGTTTTTTGAAAGAACCTTTGAACAAAATACAAAAAGTCAAAAGTCCCACAGAAATATCAAGTAGTTTCATATACAACCACTCCCCAAACAAAAAAGCCATTATATGTACCATCTGTGTTATGTGCTCAATTGGTACAATTATGTTTTGGGAGAGAAGAGATTAGACAACAATTAGCTGTCCATCATTACACTATTAAAGCTGTAGTGTAGCACTGCTGGAAGAAGTAGATTTATTTTATAAGGAAGAGAACACTGATATCGACAAAATAATATCTAAAATATTTTATTAATTGTTCAAAAACAATTCTCTAGTGCATCATAAATTGTACAAATGTGAGAAAAGGGGGCAAACAATGCAATTGCGTATGTAATGGAAACGTCACACTGAAATCATACATAAGGTTGAAGTATAGGCAATACATCCTACAAGATTACAGCTAGCTAACTGTTGTGGAGCGTTACTGCAGTGTTCAGAAGCCAGATATAGCCACAATAGCTGTAAACTCAGAGCATCATTTGATATGTTTCAGCATGAAAGAGTGGGAAAAAAAGTCACATGCAACACAAATCACTGAACAGTTGATTACGTCAACTAAAGGAATGGTGAACCTATAAATGTAGAAAAAGATCATTTCAGCTTAGTACCTTCCAAACGTAACCTTTTGTCATGAATGGATACAAAGGGACACCGCAAAAGGAAACCAGCGATGCTCTTCTTCGTAGATTAGATATCTGAAGACAGCAGTGTTCTCAGCACCAGGCTGGTTTGGCTGCATTTAGTTTTTTTGACCTGGGTGTGCTGCCTGAGTCAGTGGTGATGGAAACTGCTCTGGCGCTGTGGTGGGCAGAACTGGCCGGCCGGGGACCTGCTGGTGTGGACAATAGAGAGATATTTTATTTTATTATTTGATTACTGACTTACCAATTCATTATCAAATCAAAAACCCTAACATACCTTGTGAATTTTTAGTCCAAAACCTTACATTTAATACCTGAATGTTTTAACCAGAGTAGGCCATAACAAACAAGTACAGTATTAATAAACACACACAAGCACAATGGTGTTTATAGAATTATTAAATGGTTTTGTTTGGCAAAAGGAACATCAGTAAATCAGTCACCACTGATGTTAATAATGGATGATTCTTACCGGTGTCAGTCATCCACAGCCGCTTTTTACTCTCCTTCTGTTCACTAAATCTCTGCAGCCATCTGACAGCAGCAGGTCATACGTGTGATAAATCTGCAGCCTTCAGTTTGAGAGAAACAGGGCAGCGCACTGCCACATGCTGATCGTCTTTGTTTACCTTGATTAAGTCATTCCATGCAAACACCAGGCTGCTACAGAATAACTACGCACACACACTTCAGCTGGTGTCAATCTGCTGCTGTGGTTGTTGGGTGCACACGTGCATTAATGCTGTGGAGCTACATCAGTCATCAAAAGATGTCACAAAGAGATAAAACCACATTTCTAAGCCCCCGTGGTTTAGCTTTCATTTACATGTGAAACATGTAAATGGTTGCATCAAAACAGTCTTCTTAAATATTTGACTGAGGACCTTGTGTGAATCATCATGTCGTCATACTGTTTAGGGTTAATAAATCATTTAAAAACACTTTCATCTAGTCACAAGTTCCCTACCTTTTGGTGTCTTGCTGGCAGACTTATCCTTCTTTGTGGTAGGGATACATATGGGGTATGAAGGCGTTCCCAGGTATCCAACTTGTCGCTGGTAGTCTTCCAGTTGTTCTGAGCGCTTAATTCCAGGTGTAGGCTTGACAGACTCCAGCCTCTTCAAGAAAGCCTGACATAAACACAATGATATTTTTTTGTTTTACCTGGTAAGAAATTATTAAAAACATACTGTAAATACTAATTGTCCTGGCACATTGTTAAAGCAATCAGGTTTAACATGTGAATTTACAGCATATCAGTGAAGACGGACGTGAGCATATACATGAGGTCATTGTCAAAAGCTTTCTTGGGGGAGGTATCCATCATTGTAAATATAAAAGTGCTTCATAATATATGCTCTTATAGTCTTCAGTGCTTCTGAGTGTGTGTTATGCCAGTATTTAGCCATAAAACCTAAACATGCAGCAAGGCTCACTAGCAGGAGTTATGTGAATTATTAAGGTTTTGACATTTGATAAATCAAGCCATTTACTGTAGGTTGATCTCTTTTGCTCCTGCTTTTAACCGACAACACATATAACACCAAGAAGTGCTTATATCATTCATGTAACACATAAGTATTTGACTCAGAAATGGTGCACACACAGTCCCCAGTCTACAAATTCCACTTAACTTAGGAAAATAGAAACATATCTGGCACTTCACAGCAAACACAACCGAACAGCATGAGGCAAAACAATGTAGGCAAGTGGCTGAATGTCATACATGCAGTCACACTCCCACATGCATGCTGTGCAGAAATCCCTCAGTAAGCTAAAACGCCACATGAAGCAACACAACTAGTAAAAAGCTCAACAGTCAGGAGACCGCTCCACTTAAGTTCTGCAGGTCACAGAAAGGCACTGCAGGCTTGTAACTGCAGTCTTGTAACTGCAGTCAGACTGGTCACCTGCTGCTTTTCCAGTGTATGAATTATTTGAACTCTCCTCAAAAAAATAAAAATTAAAAAATCCAGCCCTCTATATTAACAAAACTTCTTTGGCAGAAAATTAAGAACTATTGTGTAATTGACCAATCTTGAAATACACAGAAGTAGTCCTACTTGTGCAACACAAATGTGTGATGTGTGGGGTGCACACACTGATCACACAGGCAGATTCGGTTACTTCACTCTAAGAATAGAGAAGGCAAAAAGAACTCCTGACAACGTAGAGAGACGGACTTGAGAGGGAGAACAGTCTGTCCTGAAAATAACTGGAACACATTCACTGAGAAAAACGACAATCAGGATTAATGTAAGATCTCTGATCAGCAATAATGAGAAACATGAAAATTTCAGTGAAGCAAAGAATGTTGGAAGTTTTGTTGTGTTCACTTTCAGAGGAGACAATAACACTCTGATGGCCGCCAATTATAATTTCCTGGATCATTTTTAAACACGGCTGCTTGTCTCAAAGTGGTCAAGCTGTTAATATATGGGGTGAGAGGCTACAGCTGCAGAGGCCGAACTGTCTTATAATGTCACTCTGTGGTGCTGCTGCAAACCTGCCACCTGCTGCCGTCTGTCCAAGTCCATCCGTGTCCGCTTTCAGGGGTGGCACTCTTAGTCTAAAGCCACCTAACTAGTACCTTTCAAACTAGGATCCCTAAATAAATGTACACTTCAAGAGGCAAATATTTATTAAAATAATACATTTATAATAATTACTGCAGAAAATCACAAAAATATTAAAATTTTTGTAACATTTAGTTACAAAAATATGTTTATCAATGTATCATTGTGACAATTACACCCAGAAAATGTTGTGTTTCCAGCTTCTACACTGGTTGATTAAAATGAATTACAAGGGTGTCTGATTAAATATACATCACTCTGACATGGAGGCATGTTTTAGAGAAAACTGATATCAGATAAAAAAAAACCAACTGTGATAAGTTGAAGAAGGTGGCTGCATATGTTGAGTCAATTTTATAAAAGTAAGTAAGGATGCTGTAATAGAGTTGAATGTGTGTTGTTATGGAAATGAAACAACAATTAACACATAAAACTATTTTTGGCACACTGCACAGTAGATTCACAGTGACAGAGGTTAACCAAGAGATTGAGAATATTCAAAGAGTCAACAGCAGCTACGTATTTCAGTGTCGTAATTACACAAAGGAGATATCCGGACTCTCTTTCTAGAGACACAGCAGCACCTCACCTACGATCTGATGCTAAATTAATTACTGTAACTGTTTTTATTAATTTCATCAATCAAAAAGCTATTTTGATTTTCTATTTTTTTCAAAATAGAAAATCAAAATTACTTGGCACTTTGCTTTTGTTAATAGATCAATATAGAGACAGACACAGGAATAAATGCCATGTGACGAAAGTCTCAGCTGGAGGTTTGACTTCACCAATAGATGGTATACTGTAGGCTTTGGCGGAATTATGCTATACCAGAGTATTTTGAAAACCCGCTGGTATGACTTTCAATTCCTTCAAAAATATAGACGCTTTCAATTAAACTGATACAGAGATGCTGCATTGAGCTGACTGTATTTCACTGCCTGACATCATCTACAACGCAGCGATAACCCCCTTCATTTTTCTAGCAGCTGTTAAACAACATACATGGGAGCTTTACTTGCAGCCTTTATGCACTAACAAACTGTAGCCTACACTGCACATTTTCTGCTAAACTTCACTGAATTCACCTGCCGCTCCCTCTTTTTGGTTCAACCACACACGCACTACGCACACAAAAAGGAGCAAGTAGTCGGCGACAGTAAGTGTAAGTAAGTGGTTTGGGTTTAGTCCCAAAGAAAAAGGTGAGCCAGCTAACAAGATGAAGCTGTGTGCACATCATCTCCATTCAGCCCACTGATGTGTCAGTATCCTCCGCAGCAACAAGTGTCTTTGGGTCGTCCAGCAAGAACCTATGGAAGAAGGCACGTATTGCCTACCTATGCATTGCTCTATGGGTATTTAAACCCAACAAGACTTGTATAAGTAGACTAACTGCATATTAGCCACACAGCATTGTAGGCTAGACAATGTCATACATGCTACAATGACTTCTATCACAGGCAGCAAAGCTTTAACTTTTTTAAGTTAACACAAATACCATTATATACCATTTACACCCCAGTGAAATGTCAGTATACTGCTTGCATGGGTGTCACTTAGACACTCAAACACAAATTCTTTGCTTCACACTGGCCCCAGGATTGACACCAATGGATACAAAAATTAAGGTATAACTTCAAGATCTTGTACTACTTAGCCAGTACCCGAGAATCCAAGAATATCCATTCAGGTGCAGATTTAAAAGGCATAGTTTGTAACATTGTGTGCATGAGATAAACATCAATACCACTGAGCCACAGCTAATAAACCATGACATATCCAATATGTCTTTATATTAAAGAGCCCTGAAGTATGTAAAAACAAACAAACAGAAGAATTAGAGTGATAGGAATACCCATATTTATAGCAAGATTTAATGTTTATTTCAAAAACATTAAAATGAGTATGAATCCACACAGGAGGCAAAAACTCACCAGGTTCTCCCTCTCGATGCGTTGCTGTTCCCGCTGCCTGTTGAGTGCGCTGTGAGAGAGACGAACGTGAGGCGAGTTACTGGCCATGTGGGTTTTCTTCCCCGCTGTACTTCCTGGTCTGGGCCCCGGAGAAAGCCGTGAAAGCTCCCGAAGAAGTCGCTGGTTCTCGCGATCTATGCGTCGGACCTCATCATTGGTGAATGAGTAGTTCTTCCTGTTTCTCCCTCCGCGACAGTGGAAGAGCAGTTTGCCTCGTAGCTGACTCTCTGAACTGAGAGAGCCTGGTGGTGAAAAGGACACTTGTTACTGTATCTTACAGTGTTCAGGGACATAACCATTATCCATAGGCTGTTTTTGTTACACAGCTTAGGTGAGACTGAAGATAAAGTCCATTTCTTGTTTTATTGCTCATTATATGATGATTTAAGGGAAACACTTTTTAGTAAAATGGAAGTTATTTATTATTAAAATGTTTAAACAAACCTGAGCTGTGGTGAGGGAAACTTTTTGTGGCAGTTTTTATTTGTTGGGCTCTTTGTTTACAATGTAATGTTTTATGTTAAGAAGTTATGTCCCATAACAAAAGCCCATGTGGACTGGGCATGTGTATGTGCTCAACACAATAAATAACATAAAACTACAATAACTACACTCAAATCTAAACAAGCAGTTACAGTGAAGAGCACTCAACCTAGGGGTATTTTGTGTGTAAAATACTAAATACTTTACCTCAGTCGCTAAAAATCATTCAAACCAACCAATTTGAGGAAGAACATTCACTCTTTCTGTAAAGTGCTCAAAACACATGTCCACACTAAGGCCCTAACTTGTGATGAGGTCACAAAAGAGATACTGCTTAATTTTAAGGTTTCATAAGCCAAAACAGTTGGGAACCAGTGGTACAAAGCAAAGAACATAGCAAACTGACAAGACAAGAATGGCTCAAGTGTACTCACACTCATCTGCATCCTGATAAGAGACCTCATCTTGATGTATGTTGCTGAGGCCACTGGAGGGCACACTCTCCTGCTGCTGCTGCTGCTGCACCTGCTGCTGCTGCTCTGTAGGGCTTCCCTCTCTAGCCTCTCTCTGGTTCAGGTCCAACTGGAGAGGGCTGGAGCCAGGAGAGCAGAGGGGGCTCACATCTGTCAATGTATCCTCCGACTCCTCTGTACGGCTGTAAAGCACATCCCGAGATCCTGCTGAGCCCACTTGGATGTTTGTCACACCAGGGGATAAAGAATACTTTTTGGACCTGGGAAGGGTAGGGGACTCTAAACTGCTTCTCCCATTGCTACTGCTACAGGAGCTCTCTGAATCTGCGTCTACGCTAGCCTCAGTTGAAGTGGGGGATGGACTTCTGATGCGCCGATTCCGCATTCGTTTTTTAGGAGATTGTTTATTTCTGTGTTTGGCATTGGACGGTAATGCTTCTTCTTCAGTCTCATTTTGACTCTGGTCATACACATCCTTATAATCTTCCTCTCTGGACTCAGTCAGCAAAGCCATAAATGTCCCATTGTGCCTTTTAGAGTGCAAATTAGAATCTTCCTCACTTTCACTACTATTATTGATGTCCTTATCTGATGTACAGGCAATGGATGATACACTGGATGCCCTGATCCTGTTTTCTTGTTTTGATTGACAGCCGTTCTCTTTCCTTTCTGCTCTGCTGCTGCGGTTGTTCTCGATGGGCTTCAGGTGTTTTATTGCCCCATCAGTTCTTGGGGACCGACCGCCTTTTATATTTTCAGTCTGTTTTGCATGTAGCCCCTTATGCGGGCTCTCCTTTTCAGTCTTCAAGCTTTTCTCCACCTTTTCCCCTCCATCTCTGCTGATGTTACTATCGTCACAGTCACTGTCAAAAAATGAATGATCCACCTCACCCTCTAGTTCACTGGGGTTGAACATGGCAGTCTTTCCCAACACGCTAAACCTGTAAGCAGGTTTAAGATTGAGACATTTGTTTATAATTTAAATAACTATGCCCATGTTTTTTTAATGTTTTAATCCATTTACTAGAAATGATGTCCACTTGAAAATGCATTTATTTCTACCTGAATCTATTGGGTTTCATTCAGTTCCATACAACTTTTTGTTTAAAAAGTTCGCAAACTCTCGAAATTTGCTTAAGTTGTGCAACTTTAGTGCATCCTGAATGAAAATCAGTAAAAGTCAGAATTACGTTTGGTGACTTTGTGAGGTAACATTGGGCCTTTCAGATTAGACTTTTAAAGCTGCACTTACAAACTGCATTTCCACACAAAATAATGTAACATTAGCAAACATCACTTCAGACCACAGATATGCGTGTATATCTCTGATGGATTAAACAGCTCAAGCTGATTTCAAAGAATTTAGGCTTTGATTAACAAACCATAAAACACATTTTGAAGTTGGAACATAAAACTCACTATACCACAACTCCTCACAAGATGTATTTGAAAATGTTTAGCAAACATATGTTTTGTTAATGAGCTTGCAAAGACATTAGCGTATTCATTCAATGTGTGTTTCAATAAAAATGTTTCAAATAACAAAATTATAACTAAGTTAGGTTTTATTTCATGGTAACTTGTAACAGTTAGCTTACCGTTACAATCAAATTTAGCATGAGATTTGAATTGGACTGACCAGCCATGGTAACGCTACTGTCAATTAAGACACTTTCCACCATGTAATACACATTTTTACACACAATGAAGGCATGTTTTGATCCTAGAACTCATTACGTTAGCTAACTAACTTAACGTTAGCGTTATTCCCAACTATTCTTTGACGTTAGCTAGCTTTAGCTGTATGACAACGACACCTTACCTGGCGAAAGGTCGCACGGTAAACAGTGTTTCTCGTTACGGTTGCATTTACTTCCTTAGAGAGGATGTATTCCTTTGAGAAGACGAATGAATGAAACGCAAACCTGCGTTAAAAACAAAATCTTCGTTAGCTCCAGCTGACTCAGTTAGCGTCACATGGTGCCTAGTAACCAGCGCCGTTAACGTCACTTCCTGGCAGCGGCTGCTCTGCTGCAGGTCTCTGCAGATTAGTTCGTAATGCGAATAACAAAGTCTCCGTTTATAAGCACCTGGGAGAGGTTTGCCTTCGGAGAGCCTTACTTCTTGGTAAGGTTTAGGCACCAAAACTGCTTGGTTAGAGTTAGGAAAAATACTTTTCTCTCAAACGGCCCTGAAGGCAAACCTGAAACTCTATGAAACACATGCCTTTCATAATAATTGGATTTTTAAAAAAAAAAGTGAATTAAATAATTATAAACACTTCAATAAAACTGTAAAGGAGTGCCCGGTGTGATTACAATATTTGGCAATTTGGTCACATTACCAGAACCCACACTGAAAATCTACACCCAAACTGCGGTCATAAACAAATAAAGAGCTTCAGTGATGTCTCCTAAATTATTTTTCTTTTCCATCTTTTTAAATTTACAAATGGATGACAGTAATAGACAAAACGCATAAAGCTATGTATTGGCAAATAAATAACAAATCTTTTACCTCAGGATCCACTCACTAGCATTCATCTGCAAAAGAAATGCAGAAAGCTGCGCAAAAAAACCTTTCATGCTTAAATATTGTAGCCTGTTTAAAAAAAGATAATCAAAATGCTTTTTAAATATTTAAATCTTTAAATAAACGTGCCCCATTGGATTTAAAAGAGAGCCTGAATCAGTTTTGCACTTCTGTGATAATTTGCCCTAGATGTTATAGGTTTTGAAAAGAAGGGATTTAAATGAAAAGGACAGTCTTCTGTAATAGGGTTAAAGGTATTTGAATGTTACATATTTAATGTACATATCACTCTTGATAAAGCCGGTATAATGTTAGAAGTTAATTTCACATCCAATTTTCAAAATGGCTTCTCTGTTGAATTCATTTTTTAAAAGTGAATTTAATTTATTTATTTTTATATTCTTGGGTGACAAGTATCAACAGATTAACAAAATCTGGCTACTGGGCAGCTTGTCACCAACATATTAGCTTACCTTCTGTCTTGAGTTTACAGAGAAACCAAATAAATGAATTACGCTGCAGTGATTTGTCTTAGCACAGCTAAACTATTTAAACATACCAAGAATCAGAATTGGTAGAGGAATAGACGGGAGGTCATGTAGTTTTTCTTTGGGCATCTTTTGTGCCAAAGTAACTGCTCCCCTTAGTGCACACCCATTAACAAGAAAGGGGATTATCTGAAGGCGCGTCCCCTGACATTGCAATTTGTCATGGGTTTTCTTGTAATAACATTGTTAGACCTAGAAGTGACACACACTAATGGAATTCCAATGTCCTAGGACAAAAGGACTTGGGTGAATCTATCTATCTATAAACCTGTGTCTGGTCACTGTCATAGAATTTACATTCCAATGCGGGATGGGTAGAGACTATGGATTGAATGGGTGTTTCTGCGGCGGTTCCATACTCACACAATCAGCCTATGGATAAGAAAACACAAAGAGTGACAACAAGTTTCTACAAAATTACCCATCAGTCTATAAGCTCGAGAGATTTTTAGGAAAATTCATGTACACCTATTATCATGCCTACTGGTGAAAGGAGAAAAACACCTATTTGACCCTGATAGCGGACTGGTTGTGAAAACTCAACTACAGGGAGTGACTGTTTTTCCAATAATGAGTAAAGAACAGGTTGCATTCAGGAGCAACTTCTTCTCTATACAAGTAGTTCTCAGAGTGGGGCCAAGGGACACCTGGGGGTCCAATAACTGTCTCCAGGGGGTGCACAGCAAAATAAGGATTAGTGTAACTTCACTGTAATTTATTCACTAGCAAATGTATATATTACAGAATGAGTACCGATTTCTCCCCACTTCTCTTATTCAGGTTTACACATGAATACAAAACAATAATCCTTCAATGTAGGTGTCCATGAAAAACCAGACATTTGTCCAGTGGATGTTTGGGGCCTGTGTTATTTAGTTGTCTGAAAGAGGCCTGCAATTAATGTTATTTTATTGTCCATAAAATGTCAGAAAATTGTGAAAAGGGCCCATTGTAATTTCCAAAAGCCCAGGGCGATGTCTTGACATTTCATGATTTATCTGACAGTCTGAAACCAAAATACATTCATTCAATTTACTATATTTAACAAAGAAAATAATTATCATAATCATAATTTGAGAATCTGGAATCTGAGAATTTTTGTCATTGTTGAAAACAATTACTAGATTATCAAAATAGATGCAGATTAGTTTTCTGTCGATCGACTTGTCTATTAATGAACTAATTATTTCAGCTCTAATCGGTGACTGTAAGACATTTGAAAAAAGAACGAAGGAAAAAGAGGGCACGGTAAAATATACTGTATAGTTCAGTTATTTCCTAAATCAGCCACATGGTCCAGTAGAAAAGGTCTACTACAGCAGGCATTCATGTTGAACCAAAAACATAAGAGTAAATTACACAAATATACCATCATTACAGAATTTACTCAAATTTGCCATGTTTGTAGAAACACATTTCTATAAAACAAACAGGTTACAGCGTCACAAAGCTTTGCAGATGTTTTGCCGATGCCAAATGATCTCCACGTGAAAGGGTGGGACAGCTCAGATGATCTTTGGCCTCTGAGGCAGACACAGATTATAATACGCAGTTTGATCCCAAAAATCTGGTCCCTTCCAGCCACACCAGCCCTGAGAAACATAATGTGCATACCACAGTCAACACTGTGCAGTACATAAAAATGTATACTTTACAGAGATAAATGAGATGCAGCCAGTGTACACGCTTGGAACAGTTACCTTGTCTGTGATGACCTGTAGGTCCTCCGCCCCTGTGTAATGTGGATCTAGGATGAGATAGCGGATCTGCCCGGTGGTCTCACTCCATGCCACACCTAGAATAGTGTGAGCTAAAACTCCCCCTCCTGCAACACAGGGGAAAAGTTACCATGCCTGTATGTATGATAAGAATAGGGGTAAATTTGCATGTCTTTGCTAACCATCACTAAAATGGGCTTTTAAATAGTTGAAGTCCCCCTTTAATACCTTTAATTACATTAAGATGTTGTGAAGTTCCCTGTCAATCAAGTCTTCTGCTTTGAATTCTCATTGTGATGTGACCCATTTACAGTACATTTCACTGACTGTGTTTTACATGTTGCAATATAGTAGGTGTTATTATTTTTTTTAGGTGAAGATTGTTGTGTTACATAGAAATATATAAAGAAATGTTAGTTTTTAAAGTTTGTGTATGCTGTTTAAGTTTAATTAAAGGCCCAAATACTTGATTAGGAATAGTACTCAAACAGACATCCAGCCCCTTACCAATCATGATCGGAGTCCCTTCAGTAAGGAAGTGGTTGGCCAGTTCTCTGCCTTTGGATGCCAACTCAGAACCTTGACTAAAGAGTATACAACATTTATAAATCAGATAAACCCAAATTAATGTGCACATCATCACATACGGTCACACAACACACCTCACAAACATGATCTTGGAAGTGACCTCAAGCAGCTGGTTCAGGACAGCCTGAACCTCAATGGATCCGATCCATTGCCGTGATCCGACAAAGGACGACTGTTTGTCTCCGACATCCACTAAAGCCTGGAAAGTAGAGAGCCCATTAAAAGCATCCATTTGGAAAAAGATTTTGTATTGTGATAGTTATGCAGTGTGTCATATCTACAGGGCCACTACTGTACCTGCTGAATCTCCTTGTGAGTGGGCACAGGCCGCTCAACGTAGCCCTGCTGCTGGAACCAGGAGCAGATGGTCTGCAGGGAGCGATAAGCACAGCCCCAGCCATTGTCGTCCACGTGGTCCTGCATGTAGTGGTGATAACTGTAGATCCCCTGGACAAGGTACACCTTGAGAAAACACACACACACACACACACACACACACACACACACACACACAAAGACAAATCAAGGTTACTAATCCTTACAGAGTATATCTCAGTATCCATCTTCAAAAGAGGAGATTGAGGGTAACAGACTTAAATTTGGTGAATAGCCATACCTTTCCATTGTCCAGGCTGGGATGTGTGAGGACCAGATGAGGGTTTCGGAGGTAACCATCTTTGTAGGGCTCATTGAGAAAGTGATAAGCATTGGCTCTTCTAAAATAGGGCCAGTCATCTGGTAACTCATACTGTTGATGCAATTCCTACATAGACAGAGATTGTGCTCAATAAAATTGATTTTTTTTGTTAAAATAAGAACATACATTGGGCATCAAGCAAAGACAATGCTATGCTTTTAACTAAGGAAGTATTTCACGCCAGTACAATGATCTGGATCCACTGCCTGTTGGATAAACAGTTGGATTTCCTGTACCTGAGAGTTTATTAGTTTTATTTGAGCGATTAAGATTATAACAAAGTAATAGCTTTAATGTCAGGGGAACAACACGTTGCCTGTGTGTTTGTTTGGGATTTTAAAGACTCTCAGTCTGTGGTTTTTACCTTACGTTGTGTCTCTAGTTGGCTGTCAGGCACTCCTGCTGGGTAAACCACGGTCACTAGTCCTTTCGGCTCTGGAAGGAGGAAGTGGAGAGGTTCAGGTACCAGAAGCGTGGTCCCCTTCATGTGTTGCAGGATCACTTTCTCCATCTCACACACCTGATGAGTTAGCGCCTTCAATAGGCGTTCAAAGGCACTGCAAAGACAATGTAGAAATCTTTCACAGCAAGCAGAGCTCTTCGCTGATATGGTGAAGTTCTAGAGTTTGGTCAGTAATATAAAATCAAATGTTTTTAAGGTGAGACATACTCTTTAATTGTGTCATTGCAGGTGATACGAACGACACAGTCCATGGGAAGAGTTGTAGACAGGAAGTGAGATTTCTGGACTGTTCTGCTGAGGATTGGGGCTGAAAGAGGGCCGGTCTTTGTCACCTCTGTCATCAGGCGAAGGTTAATGACACTCTAAAAGACAAGTGGGAATTTATATTCAAGCACAAGCACACACAGACACCATGCAAATATCTTTTAAGGTTTAGAGCTGAAACATTTAGTTGATAGAAAATTCATTGGCATCTATTTTCATAAGTAATTAGTTGTTGGTATTTTATTTTTTTTTAACCAAAATGCAAAACGTGTACTGGTTCTAGCTTCTGAAATATGCTGTTTTTCTTAAACATCTGTGATAGTAAAGTGAAAATCTTTTGGTTTTTGACAAAACAAGACATTTGAAGATGCCACCGTGAAGTTTTGAGAAACTGTAATACTGTACACATTTGTCTGACACTGTATAGACTAAACAATGAATGTGTAGTGTAGACTACAACGAACATTGGGGAGGTAATGAACACTTTCATGATCCCCTGATTTTACTTCACACAAATGCCGCCATCCCTGTCCATACAAAATGGACTTTAATAATAATAATAATAATAATAATAATAATAATAATAATAATATTATTATGTCAGTGTTACTACCACTGTACACAGTGTAGACACCTGTAGTAGCCCCAGTGGCTTAATGGATAAGCCACTGGCCTCTTAAGCCAGGGATTGTGGGTTCAAGTCCCAACTGGGGTGTACAGCAGAGTGGTGTAGTCCATCAACATCTGGGCTCATAACCAAGAATTTGCCTGTTATGATGTATCTATCAGTACACAATGTGGCCAGAAGCACCATTGCCATAATCAAAACATGTACACACCGCTCCTGGACTTTTTTTGCTTTTCTTTTTTGCAGCTCTCTTGCCAGCGCTCTCTTGTTCTTCTGTCCTGAAATAAATAAAAAAAAACACCTTAATTACAATTAAAACAGCTCAGGATTAAATAAAGTAAAGAAAATATCGTAAAAATGGAACTTACTGTATCCACTGATGTAAATCTTCACACAGTGTGTTTGGAGTTATTTCTTCAGGCGTTACATAAACACTTTTGTTTGGCCAGATAATAACAGGACTGTCGCAGACAGTTAGAACACAGGATTCTGATTTCACCCGAGAGCGAAGCGTCTCAAATGTTCTTGAGATTACTTTGCACATTAGCAGTGCTGAAAGAAGACACACACACACACACGCACACACACACACACACACACACACACAGACAATATGAGTCCTTTACCATTGCTACACACCATTATGACATTATAGTTTATACCCTGCTGGTATTATTTTATTGGTATTTTTCATGCATTTTATTTATCAGCCAATTTTAACACACCAGTTTGCTTTTACATGAGGCGTTTACATTATACAATTACACATACATTTCACATAGTAAGGTTTATAAGCCGGATTCTGGTATTATTTAAGAGTTAAAATTCTTAAAGTTTACTGTTTAAGGCCAAACATATAAATTAAAATAATGAGATTTCCTACTTTTCCACAAAAATCATATTCCTGGCATTTTTGGGAAAGCTTTAAGGCAGTTTAGGGAAATAATGTTTGCCAAAAGTATTTATTTATATAGAAAGTGTGGGAATTATTATAATTTTTTTTAAACAAACTTTTGGTGACCAATAAAAAATTGCTTTGTATGGATGGGTTTGCACTGGAGATTTTGGGTTAAGGAGGTTTTCCTCTGATAGTAATCGGGTAAATGTTACTGCATCTGAGAAGGACACAGCAGCAAGGAAAGCGAACTCTGATCAAAATAGGCACCGAAATCATACTAGCAGGGAAAGTAGGGTATGTTGTCACACTTTTAACACTGTCTAGCATTTGCTGGCTACCATCAATCAAATCAAAGAAGGAAATCAAAGAAGCAAGTCTTGAGCACATATTTTGTATGCATTACATGTTCATATCTTTTCTCATTAAGGAGTTGTAGACTGTTGAATAGGGTGTGTACACTTGTGACAATTTGCCCCATTGGCACACTGCATCAGGGAAGCTGTCACACCGGCACAATTACTACTGCTGTCTAATGGTTGGAGCAGATGTGATTAGCGGGGTGGGAATGACAGCATATTTATTCCATTTTCTTTGGCATAATTGAGTCCATCAATGGACAGACGAGACTTGTGGTTGTCCAAAAGGAGGAAACAGGGCATCTCTTTTGAGCACTTGGCATGTTCATTGAAATGTTTCAGGAAGTTAACAAAGTGCGTATCTTTCATCCATTTAGAGGGATTTGCCCCTCATTTGTGGAAATGATTGCGGAAGTTGACACGGTGAAAAATAAAATAGGGTGGTGTACTATTCCCTGTGGCTGAAGAAACACATCAGGGCTTGTGTACACATCTGCCCTTTTAACACCACTGTGTTTACAAACTTGTCCCAGCTGATTGGATAACACATGTGAACAGGAAGTTGACCATAGAACAAGTCACACAAAGTGGCTATTAGACTTTTGAGATAGGGCCTCTAGTGTTACGAACAGTGTGACAACTTAAGTTACCTGCTCTCCCCTACAATTAAACGGTTGCTGGGGCACCGTTAATGTTAAACCTTATGGTATCCAACCACTACATAAAAATATATCGTCTACATACCATCTGTGCTGTCCAGCTGACATTTGAACTCCAGTGACCCTCTGACACGCAGGATGGTCCCTGTGTCGGGGGACTGTGAGTCAGCAACAACCTGAGATAACGCAAGAGAAGTAAGTAATAAGTAGCCTGAAAGAAAACCAGTTTATAACGTTAAAGTAGAGCATGTTTGTAGTCTCACTGTTAGTGTGTCTGGCTACATAGTCTATGTATAGGAGCCGAATTGCCAGTAATCTACTCGCAACAGCAAGCTGGGTTTAACATCAAGCTGAACAGAAGGGCACATGGACGTTTCGTTTAGCTATTTTATCAGTAAACTTACCATCGTGGAGTTCCTTCCAGTAAAAAACCTTGCTCTCTGCTGTTCTCTATGTACCGGAGGCTGACATGTCTGTTGTAGGAAATTTCCAACGTGTCTCTGGCTGCTGCATTCTATTGGATCACGCTGGCTCCGCCCATGAATGTTGCATTCAAGTTGACTCGTAAATGGAAGATTTTAATGGATAACACGGTGACAACAGCAGTGGTTCCAGACCTATTTTTGCTCGTTTTAGTGGTTTTACTCAAGTAGCCCATACTTAAGTAGACCTACACATTGGAGGTACTTGGAAGTATTTGAATTTTATGCAACTTTAGATTTATACTTGACAGCTTTAGTTACTAGTTACTTTTCAGATTACACTTTTTCAAACACTTCCTGCCAGGTGAATACTTATGAATCTCCAAATCTGGGGGGTTTGATTTGAAGGATTTTGTGTTCCGTCCATCCATCCATCATCAACCGCTTATCCTGCGTACAGGGTCGCGGGGGGCTGGAGCCAATCCCAGCTGACATCGGGTGAAAGATTTTCCTACTTCTTGAGAGAAAAAAACTTGTATTAGCTGGAAAATACATTGCTGTTTTTCTGAGCTCATGAAAGGTTGACTTTAGATACAGGAGGCCTAGCTGGTTCTCACAGGACAGAGACATTCCAAACATTTGATAATCTAATAGAAAATACCTTTTACATTACATTTAGCTGACGCTTTTATCCAAAGAGACTTACAATTGCCTCTGGAGCAAGGAGGGGTTAAGTGTCTTGCTAAGGGATGCCTTGGTGGACGTGTCACATACACATAAATACACTAGTGATTTTAATCCAAAAATATCATGTACAATAGTACAACATTTACAGGGACCATTTCACTGCATAATGAGTATTTCTACTATGATACTTTAAGTAAATTTAGATGATAATGTTTTTACTTAAGATTTTAAATGCAGCACTTGTAGTGGAGTATTTTGATTTTCAGCATGATATGAGAACTTTTAATTAAGTAAAGGATCTGAATACTTATTCCACCCCTGGTTTGTTTCAAATTAGATTAGGATATTTCAGAAAAAAAGGATTTGTAAAAGCCCTGAGGAGATTGAATAATCTAATATTTTACAAGAAAAGGCAAAAATGATTTTGACAAAATAAACATTATTTTGTGCAAATATTTTTCTTCATTTCTCTCTCTGGGCTGCAGCTACAGCCTCACTTTTGTCCCACCTGTCTTAGTAGAGTTGCATTGTTGTTTCCTATTCAGCTTATATTATACTAATAAAAATTCGTTGGTTCATCTTCAAACTTTCTGTCTATAGATTTACAACACAATTACACTGGTGACAGTTGGGAAAGATCTACATATATGTTCTTAGAGAATTATAAAAAGAGTGAAAAAACTGTGTGTGTGAAGCATCACACATTACATGAGCAAACAACAGAGAGACATGGACGTACTATAAATTTTCCTGCAGTGGTGCAGTTTGTACAGAATTGAGTGCATCTCGAATGTTGGTTCTTTACTATTGAGTGATGCATATTATATCTAATTATTTCAGCATCATGTGTCAACTTTGTTATATTTTTACCTCTTTGTTGAGTTTTTTATTCGTTTTTTTACAAGGACAAAGACTGCGAGGAGAGTGCAAAGAGCCACAATTAATATAGAGAATAACAGTGAAACCTGTATCACGGTGCATTAATGCTTGTTTACCTCAGGCTATCACATGGCAGCCATGCGTATTAGGCCAAGCAGGGTGAGTGGATGCAGGGTTAGAGATACTATATGTTGTTGCTATGCATGTAGAATTGGGAGCTTTCTAACAGTCGTTGTTTGTAGCAAACATCACAACTATTTGACCTTCACAATAGAAAGAAATTATCATCAAAACCTGTATTTGGAGGCAAATTTAGATACCAGTTCATACTTAACTGCTTTTAGCCAAGCAAAGGATTTTATGGCTAAACTATATGACTATTTGTAAATGAAAGGACCTTCTGAATTGAATTTACATTCCAGCCCTGTTACACTTTCAATACTTGCTTCAAACTTATTAACTATTTCTCTTCATTATTGCAAAGACAAATAAAGCACATGCCCCAAAGCAGTGTTGAAAAGGAGGTCAGTTTTAGGTCAGGCATATTTTGTAGTAACATTGCTTCTGGATAAAATCAGCAAGGGTTTGTTAGGATTACAGGGGAAAGGAGCTGAAACGGTTCCTGTCATACATTCAAATTCAATTATCTGAGTAGATTGTCAGTTAAAATAAAAAACACACCTATAAACACACCTATCAGGCCCAGTGCTTGTAGTGCACTTATGAACGAAAATGCTGGGATTGTATTGTCACTTGAATAAGATATTTGGCAATAACTGTTATTTTTGAAAATGTAGAAAAGAAAACATGGGTTTGCCTGAAGTGCTCATTAGTTTCATGGATCTGTTTTGTCCCACGGTGCTCAAAAGATCCACTGCTAAATCCACTAGAGCGCACAAATGCAACATTACCAAAGATTTACTGTCAGTATCTATTAAAGGGCTTTATGTGCCTGAATGTTGGGATCTGCCTGAAAGCAAGTTTCTTCCACTTAAACTAAGTGCAGCTCGAGTATATACATTGTAACTGTCTGATGTCATGGCTGTTAGGTTCCAGGACTTGATTTGTGATGAGACTAGCTATCGCTCTGCGTATCATAAATAGAGTATCAGGATCTTTTGTGCAGAGACTGAATATATGGAAGGCACTGTGGGAACTCACATTACGAATGCACATTCATCATACGGACATAAGAAAAGTTTTGTATGGAGATTAGAATTCATTTGGTTCATGATAAAATGACCCACATTGGCTATAGATAAATTTTGAAATACATTTTTGTGGATTTTGTCCGCCATCACTTGTAAGTGATGGCCAGTATGAGCAGGAAGAACAGCAAGAAAATCCTATGTCAGTGTTTATATGTGCACCTGACTATTATTTTAGGACAGATCTGAAAAATTGTGAAGCTACCACACAGTTTTTCAGGAAATGTAATAAGGAAAGACAAAATTGTTATACTGTTTTTATTCTCATTCATGACCTCAACAGTGGTGGTTGTTGTTTCTTTAGAGCAGTGAAACATTTGGGATCATGTTGTGCTCATAGGATACGCTTGAGAACAAGCTTCTGCTAGTCCCCATGAGTATGTGTACCGCTTTACATCTTAAAGACAAATCTAGTTCATGAAAATCTAATTATTTGTCTATATTAGACAATATACGAAAATATACTGTATATACGCTATGGGCAACATGTCTACCCAGTGTTGTTGTTCTTTATGTTTTTGTAGCAGTGGAAGGATTGCAGGTTCCTCCGTGAGATAAAGTTATGTTACCTGAGAAACTTTTCAAAGCAAAAATACATAGGCCTACTGTCAGCTTTTTTCAAAGCTCCTGAAAGTTGCCATCAAAAAAACTGTAAAGATACATTTAGATTTTCTTGTTGTATATGCATGTGAGTTGTGTGTAAGGGGAAGAGACAGAGCAACAAATTAACAAAAAACATGGGCATTAACAATAGTAACAATGCTACTTTCTGTTGTTGTCTAAGAAACAAATAGATGAAAGAATAAGAGAAAAAAATCATTATGCCCAATCGAACTGTTGGGAAGAACTGTACTTACTACTTACTTTATAAAGTAATTTCACTCCACTACATTTCAGAGGGCAATATTGGACAGGTTTAGTTGTGACGAAAAGTGTTGTTTATTTTATTTTCATTTTTTTCTTTTTTTCTTGTGTGTTCTGTTTTTTGTTGTTGTTCTTTTTTTCTTCTACTTTGATGCTTAGTCTGCATATCTCGTGACTTAATATGGGAAAAGGAGTGGAACTCTGTACAAGCCTAGTCTGGCTTCGTTCCCTCCTTGCATTGTTCTGGACTTGTACCAAACGTGCTAAACAAATAAACTAAACTAAACTAAACTAAACTAAGTCAGAATTTAGATCCATTGTAATCACTTCATAAAATATACACTCTTACAGATTGAACCTTCCAACAGTTTATAATGTTAAGTTGCTTCACTGGCCTCCACCAGCCACACAGTAGCAATAATACAAGAATGATACCATCCATCGTCAACTGCTTATCCTGCATACAGGGTCGCAGGGGGCTGGAGCCAGTCCCAGCTTACATGGGGCCAGTCCATCGCAGGGCCACACATAGACAGACCACTCACATTCACACCTAAGGACAGTTTTGGAGACACCAATTCACCTAGCCTGTCTCTCCACACACTAATCTCCACACAGAAAGGCCGGGGCAACCAGGGTTTGAACCCATGACCTTCTTGGTGTGAGACAACAGTGCTAACCACTGAACCACCACGCCACCCACAAGAATGATACATTATTAAGCTTTTATTTTTAATATTCCTGCACATTGTTGATCATACTTGTTTACTTTGACTTAAGATTAAGTAGCAGAGCCTTGTTAGATTGTAGTATTTATGCTTTTACTTAACTAAAGGATCTATACTTCTTATACTGCTTCTTCCACGAACAGAGAAGCTGTCAGACTTTCTCGCTTCTTTTCCTTCTTCATATACACACTTCCTAATCCAGGACCTTTTCTATGTTTCCTTGTTATCCTGGATGAGAGCTGCCTCCTCCTTCCCCACACTGAAAGCAAACTCTACCAGCAACAGCTGACTGAATGACGAGTCCAGTGATCAATTTCAGTCTCAGTTCCGCGATCAGTAAGCTGATAAAGATGTTGTCTTCACCTCTACCTCTTCTTTCTGTTGGTGCAGGTCTTCAATTCAACATTAAGACACAAAGCAACACAAAGCCAAAAGGACCTTTCTGTATTGAAATTTAATTTAGTGTCCCACCTTGGCAGAGATCAAAAGGTCCATGTTGTATATAATCATGACAACGAGGCTTGTTCATGCCAGTGCAGGTGGTGCTATCTCCTCTGGGTGCTGGTGAAAGCCAGCATCGACAGCTGTCACCTCTGTGGTGCCAGATTGGTCACAAAGACCCGGGGATAGCTTGCAAGATCTGCTTCAAGACATTACACAGGGTTCATTTTCACTTGCCTCTTGATTGGAAAAGTACAGAAAGAGGACATTTTACTTCTGTCCT